CTCATTTTGGTAACTTTAATAGTTATTTTTCACATGGAAAATGTATTGGTAAATAGGTGTAAATGTAAGGTTTATAACACATATGATTTTTGCAATATCCTGTATTTCTCAGTGTTATAGACACACAAATTTAAAGTTAGAGCACATTTACTGTTTAGCCATCTTTAGAAAGAGAAACCTATATTTTTCCTGTTTATTGGTGAATTTATTCACTTTGAAATATAATTAAAAGAAAAATAGAATGTCCCTAAATTTTTAGGGGCTTGAGAATAGCCTGGATTTTCAGTCTTGTTTGACTTCTCAGTCTTCACTGTCCAGCAGATTATGTTTATCTACATAGTCTTCTATAAACTTCATGTGAAAATACATTTTTTCAAATAATTGATTTGCACCCTGTGAGTGTGTAACTGTTTTTAAAAAGCTAAAATATTACCCACTTCTTAATTATACTTTTGATTTTAAGTGGGATCTTCAATGGCTAATATGCCTATAATTTTTCCACGCATTTTAATCCGCAGATGGCCAATTTGTTTTCCATATGTAAAAAATGAAAGTACAGATTCATTATCTTAGCATAGCCAATAATCTTTTCCTTAATTACATTGTATGTACAAAACTATTTCCATCTGTACTTACTTTTATAAAGTAATGCAAGAAAACACAGTAATGTATTGATAAGCTCTGATGTCTACATAAAATCAGTGACCTAGCTTAAAGTTGAGCTGTTACATAGTAGAGCAGATCATATAAAGGTGAGTGAGGAATTGAAAAGGCAACCTCAACTCATAGAAAAATTTAAACCTTGGCCAATAACATTGTATTCCTTGAAAACCTCTAAAAGGAAATTACAGTAAACACATTTATCCAGTTCTTCTTAAATATATGTCTTCTAAATCAAAATTTACCTCAATGCATTTCCTTAAAGCTCAAAAATTCTGAAAGGCCTTTAATGAAAATTGTTACTTCTTACCCCTATTTCGCTCTGTCACATTCCCTAGCATCAAGCTGTTCTGTTTGGTATCAGTCTGTTTCTTTGGGAATTTTGCCTCAGTTCTTCAGATTTTCAAAGTCATTCAATGGACCTTCTGAATCTCCCCAATCCCTGACGCCAGTCTGATATCTTGAGACTCAGCTTTCTGTACTGTCCTGTTGATTTTTCTTTCTCCTGGTTTTTATGTCTTCTGAGTTCTTGCTTTGTACCTTCATTGTAAAGCTTCTTGCACTGGAAAGGAAGGACCATGGCACATCTGAAACAGTCTTTGCCACATATTTACTCACATATGTTAAATTATGTTTTGAGAATCGTTTCCATTCTGAAATTTGCATTGTTCTCCTTTTAGCTCCCAGAAGCAGTCACCATTCACTACACCTTTACATAAATTTGAATATTTAAATACTGCATTTTAGTGGTCTATTGTATGCCAGTGTTTTGATTAGCTACTATAATGCAGTGAGTATTACAGAACACAGCAATTTTAAACAGCAACCTATCCTCTCCCCCAAGGTTCTGTGAATTGCCCAGCTTCTACTCCATGAGGTTTCATTGGAGAATTCAATCACCAGACGCCTAGATGAACTGGCATGTCTCACTTACCAGGCTGGAAGCCACCACTTACCAGTGAACTGTGAGTTTACTTGGAACTTTAACCAGAATACCTTTGCTTTTTCTCTATATGCCAATACTACTACACTTGGACTTTACCAGAGGCTGCCTGGCTTCCAAAAGGAAGGGCCAGTCTCCCTAAAGCTTGTGCTGTCATCTCAGACTGGTACATTGGCTGTATTACATTGCTCACAGGCAAATACGCATCTCCTTCAGATGCAAGAGGAAGGAAAATAACAGTTGCTATAAGAAGCAGGGTGAGCGCATTGAGAGCAGAATCTGTTAGGGTCAACTTGGGAGACTAGATCCCATAGCAGTTTCATTGAACGCTATGTCACTTTTGTTTTCCTTGTTGGGTTTGTGAATGGTCTGTGAATGTCTGTGAATAGTAATGAATACTGGAAAATAAAAGACAAAAGAGCAGTGCAAATTTCTGAAGCTAGTTTCAATAGAATTTGATCTTCCCCAGCCTTACCTTCTGCAATGTTCCCTGAGCCATGTAGGGAGGGGACATGGCATACATGAGACAGAAACACGTTCATCACCATGAAGTGAAAAGTCCATTGAAATCTCTAAAATCATTTACTTATGTCAAGAGGTTAGGCTAATGAATTTTTAATATTTTCATTATGGTTTTTGATTCTCCAGCTCATTACAGCAACTGTTGGTCAATATTAATTAACTCTGGCTACATGGAGGTGGCCAACTAATTAAACTGAAAGGGTGACACTGATGGAGAGGAGGAAGCCATCTATTCATCTATCCATTCATGCGTTCATAGAGGGGTGCTAAAATGAGACTCTGCTATCTTAATTTTAATATCTTTAGGATATTAAAAAGCTCGAACTCTCTCTCCCTCACACACACACAGCTGCATGCACAAAAGTGAGAGAAGAAATGAGAGAAGGAGGAGGGAGAGAAGGAGGAGTGAGAGGAGGAGTGAGAGAAGGAGGAGGGAGAGAAGGAGGAGCGAGAGAAGGAGGAGCGAGAGAAGGAGGAGCGAGAGAAGGAGGAGGGAGAGAAGGAGGAGGGAGAGAAGGAGGAGGGAGAGAAGGAGGAGCGAGAGAAGGAGGAGCGAGAGAAGGAGGAGCGAGAGAAGGAGGAGCGAGAGAAGGAGGAGGGAGAGAAGGAGGAGGGAGAGAAGGAGGAGGGAGAGAAGGAGGAGGGAGAGAAGGAGGAGGGAGAGAAGGAGGAGGGAGAGAAGGAGGAGCGAGGGAAGGAGGAGCGAGAGAAGGAGGAGCGAGAGAAGGAGGTAGGAGACTGAAGTGCACAGGGAGGGAGAAGGAATTCCTGTACTGGGTTATTGGAGTATTATGGTTGCCACATCTCTATGTTGGTTGACCTTTTTAGGTGGATGTTATCCTCACACCTTATGTCAAATGAATGACTTAGAAAAGAACATTTTGTTATCTATTCCTCCCCTGACTCAGTCTTCCTAGTCCCATGTGCTTTCCTCTCCTTCCCTTCTCTTTCTCCTAGCTCCCTCTCTACTCACTGCCCCCCCACACTCCCAATATGCTCAGGAGATCTTGTCTCTTTCCCCTTCTGTGAGGGACCTTGAATCTCTTAGGTTCCTCCTTGTATCTAGTTTCTCTGGTCTAAAATCCATATATGAGTGAGTACATACCATGTTCCTCTTTTTGTGACTGGGTTATCTCATTCAGGATGGTTTCTTCAAGTTACATCCATTTTCCTGTGAATTTCAAGATTCCATGTTTTTTTTTTTTTTCCTCCCGCAGAGTAGTATTCCATTGTGTAAATGTGCCTCATCTCCTTTATCCATTCTTCAGTTGAGGGGCATCTAGGTTGCTTTCAGGTTCTTGGTACTACAAATAATGCTGCTACAACCATAGTTGAACAGATGTCCTTATTGCATGGATGTGTATCATTTGAATAGACAAAAGAAAAAGAAAGAGAGAGAGAGAGATACCATAAAATAGGGAGTCATTTTAGGTTTGAAGAAAGAACTGACTCTAGAGAAATGTCCAGAGACCTACAGACTGACCCCAACTAACAATCTGAGCAACAGTGGAAAGGCTACCATAAATGACCTTCCCTGATAATGAGATTGATGACTAACTTATCCACCATCATAGAGCCCTCATCTAGTAGCTGATGGGAACAGAAGTAGACACCCACAGCTAAACATTGAGCCGAACTGGAATCCAGATACAGAGAGGGAGGACAAGACCAGGCTACAGAAACCCACAGAAACAGCTGACCTGAACAAAGAGGAGCTACTGGGCCCCCCAGACTGATAGCTGGGAAACCAGCATTGGACCAACCCAGAACATGGGTCTCAGAAAGCCTGAGCAGTCTAAGGAGCCTCAGACAGTGGAACCAGGATGTATCCCTGGTGCACAAAAGGACTTTGGGAGCACATTCCCCATGGAGGGATACTCCCTTAACCTAGAGGCAGGAGGGAGGGCCTAGTCCCTACTCCAAGTGAGTTGACAGATTTTGTTGACCCCTTCTGGAAGGCATCACCCTACATGTGGAGTGGGGGGGATGGGATGGGAGGGTAGTAGGGGGGCATGGAAGGGAGGGAGGAAGAGAGGGAAGGAGGAAGGTAGTGAGAACTGGGATCAATATGTAAAACATAATAAAATAAAAGAAAAAGAAAAGACCTTTTTGAGGGCCTGATACACTTCTTGGAGTTTAGGAGACACTGAAAAGAGGAACATGATAGTTGCTTGAGAAACCATGAGTCCATGTCTATGGAAGAGAGGATAGAAAATGACTAACAGCTAAAATTAGAGCAGAATAGAGAGAGTAAGTGTGATTTCTTGTTTTGTTTATTGATGATTTTCCTTTGTAGGATGGGGGCCTGTGTGGATCTTCAGAGTAAAGTCACCTTGGAGGATTTTATTTTTTCATACAGAATCTCATGTAGTCTTAGGTGGCTTCTGACTCACTATGTAGCCAAGGATGACCTTGAATTTCTGAACCTTCTGCCTTAACATACAGAGTTCTTGGATTATAGTTGTGTGCCACTATGCCCAGTTTATTCTGTGTTTGTGATTTAAACCTGGAACTTGTTTGTGCTATAGGTGAATGCTCTACTAATTGAGCATACATGGCCAGCTTAGAGAAATCTTAGAAAATGTTCAAGTGACAACTTGAAAGAGAAGGCAAAGCGGCCCAGCAGGAGGTGAAACTCTGAGCCCTAGGGCTGAAGCATGAATTAAAAAAGAGCCAACCAGAAGGATGGAGCTAGCTAGCTCAGTGGGATGGAATCAAGTGTCCAGATGTAAACCCATACGTCTCTGGTCAATTTTAACAAAGGATAACTGCCATAGTTACTTTCCTATTGCTGTGCCAGGACACCATGACCAAAGTAACTTATAGAAGACAGAATCTATTAAACTTACAGTTTCAGAGGGTGAGTGCATGACCGTCATGGCAGGGAGAATGACAGCAGACAGCCAGGCATGGTGCTGCAGCAGTAGCTGAGAGCTTGCATGGTGCTGCAGCAGTAGCTTAGAGCTTGCATGGTGCTGCAGCAGTAGCTGAGAGCTTGCATGGTGCTGCAGCAGTAGCTGAGAGCTTGCATGGTGCTGCAGCAGTAGCTGAGAGCTTGCATGGTGCTGCAGCAGTAGCTGAGAGCTTGCATGGTGCTGCAGCAGTAGCTGAGAGCTTGCATGGTGCTGCAGCAGTAGCTTAGAGCTTGCATGGTGCTGCAGCAGTAGCTGAGAGCTTGCATGGTGCTGCAGCAGTAGCTGAGAACTTGCATGGTGCTGCAGCAGTAGCTGAGAGCTTGCATGTTCGTACAACCCTGAGGCAGAGGAAGGGATGATAACTGAAAGTGGCATTGGCTTTTGAAACTTCAAGAGGGTGATACACCTTCTCCAGTAATGCCCCACTAATCAGGGCCCAAGCATTCAAGTATATGAGCCGACGGAGGCTATTCTAATTCAAACCACTACAGATACCAAAGCCATTTAATAATAAAAAAAAAATCAGGGTACTTAGTGAATGATATTGAAAAAACTGGATAGGATTGGTGTATCTATGTAATCTTAGCTACCTGGGGGCTGAGGAAGGAGGACAACTTGAGCCCAGGATTCAGTTCGGTCTGTACACTTTAGTGAAACCTCATCTCAAACGGAAGGAGAGGTCATTGTCTGAAATATAAGAGTGAAAACTATAGTTCATTACCCTTAGAAGAAAACAATGACGCACCCTGATGATGTTGGATTTGGCAACTGATTCTCAGCTAAGCCAGCAGAAGCAGGAGCATTAAAAGAAATCAGATACATCTGACTTCATCAATATTTAAGGCTTTTGTCCTTCAACTGGAACTTAAAGGATGACAACATCTGAAGATCATATGTTTAATAAAGGATGTGTACATAGGGGACTGAAGAGGTGACCAAGTGCATAAGAGTACTTACTGGTCTTGCAGATGACTCAGGTTTGTTCATAGCACCTGCATGGTGGTTCATAGTCACCTGTAACCATGGCTCCAAGGGATCCCATACTTACTTCTGGTCTTCAGAGGTGCTGCATACATGTAGTGTGTTTACATACAAACAGGCAAAACTCTCATACACATAAAACAATAATAGAGTAAATCTTTTTTGAAAAAGAAGGTGTTCATAAGATGTAGAAAGGTCATTCATAGCACAATAATAAAATAACAACTCACATTAAATACAAGTAAATGCAGTAAGTAGGCATTTTTCCAGGAAAGAGGCTTACCATTGTTACTTAAAACCATAATAAAATATCGTATTATATTTAAATGAAGAAAATAGTATTGGTAAGCCTGTGGAAATGTTGGCCCCATGTACACTGCTGGTGGGCATATAACGTGGTACAAGTCCTGAGGAAAACTTTAGCTCTTCCTTTAAGCACTTAGCAGAGAGCTAATGCTATAAGCTCACAGTTATGCCCACTGTATCTTACCTATGAGATCTGAAATCACGTTCTGAGAAAACTTGCACATTAGGAAGCACATTTTAGTTATAACAAAATTATAGGGTAAACAAAATGCCTCACGTGTTTTATTGTTAAACAAAACGTTGTTTAGCCATATAATGGAGTATTGCTGAGCCATTAAAAGTCATTATATCATTATATCCATGCACAACACAACAAACATAAAGCTTTAAAACACTATACTAACAGGAGGAAGTACAAAAGGACCACATTATGATCCCCTTAATAGGAAGTCTCAGGACTGAAAAAATATAGAATTATAAGGTAGTTTATTGGCTGCTTACAATAGGCTCTTGGGCAGGGGGATTAGTGCAAGGATTCAAAGACATTTTTAGGTGAAGAAAATGTTCATTAGTTGTTTATATCTGTGCATATGCTAAAGGCACTGAGCTGTACATTTTAAATGGATGGGTTGTATTATGTCTAAATTATATTATAATAAAGTTGCTAAAAATGAAAAGTAAGTCAGAGAGGTAACTTTATCAATGAATTGCCTGGCCTATTTTAGAAGTCAGTAAGGTAGAGCAAAGGAAAGAACCATCTCTGGGAATGCACAAGTTAAGAGTTCTGCCAGGTGTAACTGACCAGCTGTGCAAGATCTCCCCCATCTTCTCTCCTTGACTTTGGCCTTGGAGTTACCAGCATGTGAATATCTGAGGTTAGACTGTTTCAAGCAGAGGGAACACTGCACAAAGCCACAAATGAGAATATGCATGCTGTTGGTGTAGAAGAATGCGGGAAGGTGATAAGGATAATGAGACAGAGCAGGGAAGGCCCGTGAAGCCAAATATAACAATGACCATAAATTATTTCCTTTAGGTAACCAAGCCTTTACAATTGCACAGAACCCATGTGATGGCAAATGTAGGCCAGACCAGATCCTGACCAGCAAAATGGAAATTGATATCTTCAATCTTTAAATATAGCTTGGCACTATGACTTTCTTTTTCCAATATGGCATTAACAAACATGGCAGAGCAATAGTTTGAAACACATGTGTGCATGGGGGGGGGGTTGCCTTCTTGTTGTTCTTGAAATCTCAGATTTGTGTGGTAGAAGATTAGAGACACATGAAACAGTTGCCCCTGTTAAGCTCACTGACACCCAGCTAAGTCCCAGAGATGTGTGGCCACTGAAGAAACTACAAATACGGTGAAGCAGCTCAGCCTAGACCAGCGAAAGAACCATGCAGCAGAACCCAGTCCATATCGCTGACCCGCAGAATTGTGAAATAAGTAGCTTTTTTCAAACATTGCATTTGGGGGCTGCTTGTTAAATTCTAAATCTAATACAGGCAATGTTCAAAAGGGTTCTCAGGTGTACTTTTTCTCTTTGGTCAAAGCTAAAGAGTGCTTCTCAGGTTCCCATGTCCTATAAAGCTCTGCACATAGGATTTGGGGTTTAACCCTCAGGTAATGATAATGGATGGCCATTTTATTGGAGCTGTTTCTGTGTTGAACAGTTTCCTTGGCAACCAAACATATCTTGACTCTGAAGCAGCAACAGCAGTGGTATGTGGATTAGTCTGTCCCCTAGGAAGGGGTGGATTTTAATAGTGAAAATGGCATCAGCTATCATTTCTTAAGCTCTTGGTATAGTCCGGGCACCTTCTTTGCACCATTTCACTGAATTCTTGTAAACTACCTTGAAAAGTAAAAATTCTTTTTGTTTCCATGTCCAGGCTGTAATTTAGGGAAGTGGGGTGACTTGTCTAAGCTTACATGGGCAATACGTAGGAGGGTCAGGATCCAATTATTGATCTGCCTGCCTCAGTAACTCAACATTTCAGTATGGTACTGTGCAGATAGTGAGACATACCAAGCTCATACAGAAGTTTGCAATAGTGACCTGCTTTTATCCCCCTGAGGTCAATCAGGCACCTCAAGACAAGTCTGAACCATCCACTGCAGTTTAGCTCCATGCCTTGTTCTCTCACTTCCTACCATCGTTCCATCTGCAGCTGTAGAACAGCTGGCTTAACCCTTTCCTTCAGTCTCAGGGGAAAGGAGGGGCCAAGGGCTGCTCCTGGAGAGGCCTGGCAATACTTTTAGTCTTCATTAAAAGTTTATGTGCATTATACACTTCATTATATGCAATTGGGTTTCTTATATGGCACTCCAGTGCATGAATGACTCCCTAGACACATTTGTGCGTTTCCATTGTTATAATATGAAGCCTGGCCAAGGAAACAAGGCAGGCATGGTTTAAACTATTCAATTATTTCTGGTGCACTAACCAAATCCAGGAGAGTCTTTATTCTCCACTCTCCACAGGATTGCTGGCTGGACCGCATCTGTATTTCTATTGGTCCAAACCTTTCTGCTGTGAATCTGAACAGTGAGGAAGATAGGAAAGACCACTCCCCTTCCCAATTTATTCAGAATTGACTTATGCTTAGTTGTGCTTGTGAACTACACTTTATTCTATTTTTTGCGTGTAGTCTATGTACGTATTTGTATAGATGTATGTGCATGTGTACACATGAGGATGCATATACATGTGTTGTATGGGGGTTGACATCGACATTGGGTGTCTTCTTTAATGGCTCATCATGTCACTTTATTGTAGTTGGGGTCTGCCTGGACAGCCTGGCTGGCCAATGAATCCCGGTGACCTGTCTTTCTGAACCTTCTCTAGTGCTGGGATTATAGACAATCACCATTATGCCTGGCCTTGTTAACATGGGTTGTGACAATCACCACTATGCCTGGCCTTGTTAACATGGGTTGTGACAATCACCACTATGCCTGGCCTTGTTAACATGGGTTGTGACAATCACCACTATGCCTGGCCTTGTTAACATGGGTTGTGAGGCTCCAAATTCAGGTCCCCATGCTTGCACAGCCAGCACTTTACTGACTGAGCCATCTTGCTAGCCATTGTTTCTAGTTCACACAAAATGACTATTATCTTAGAAGGACTAATCTTTTTAGGTTGAGAAGTAGTGTGGTCACAAGTATTTTGTTCCATTCAGGGATAATAAAGAGATACACAAATATAATAAACACACACACACACACACACACACACACACACATATATATATATTCATTCATGAATGACTGTCGAATTTCAAAGAACATACTCTGTAGTAAGGTCACAGATTAATGAACAAATTGAGTGTTAATAATTGTAAGGATTCACGCTTTATGCTGGCTTGCCTCTGTCACCTGGCAGAGTGCACTCAGGCAGTTCCCTGGTCAGCATGCAGGTGCAAAGGACCCTTTTAAAAGTAAGACCTTGGCCCACTCACACTCTTTTACCGTTGTTCTCTTTCCCACTCTCTTTTTGCCCCTACCTTTCCTGCTATTGCCCTGGGGACTTTTCCTGTCTCGCTTTTCTCTTTTGCCCACCCCCACTCTCCCTATTTTTTTTTTTTTTTTGTGTGTGTGTGTGTGTGCGCGCGCCTCTTTACCTCTTTCCTCTTTCCTTGCCCCTTCCCTCCTATTTCTAACAAAACTTCTAACTTAAGCTCTGTCTGCCTGGCATATTTGTCCCTTTGTCTTGGTCACCCCCACCTGCCATGGAATCCACCAAGGTTCCCCACGATTTATCATAACAATAACCCCATTACTAAAAAACACAAAACAGAATCGTGTCTGAAAAAAAAATAGCTGAGACACAGAATTCATTGTCTAGAAGTTTGTTGGTCTAGGACGTTCAGTTTAGTGGAATGGAAAAGGCTCAAAGGTCATCTGGGAAACTACATATTCAAGATGGCAGTGCTTCCCTGAGCCTGGTACCCTCAGTAACCTAAGTGGAAGATGGCTGATTTGCCCAGTTCTTGCGGTGTTCAGTAGTGCTATGTGTACAACAGATAAA